GTTGAGTCGTCTCATCACAGGCGTTGGGGCATCCGAAATCCCCGTGAGAGGCTGGACACAAAACTGGACCTGACGAACGCCATTTTTCTCGGGACAAGCGTCCCGAGATAACAGCAGGAAGGCAGATGGGAAATAATTAGCATAGCTGATGTTCATAATGATTTCCGTTATAACTCACAAACTCTCCGTAACCTGAACTCTCCGCAACCCAACCATACGCGCCGACCCGTTTGTCTAAAAGGCTGTCGAGCCCCACTGGTGCGTTAAGCAGTTTCAGTGGCAAACGGTTCCGTATGGCATAACAGACGACTAAAAGGTAAGCATTATGTGAATGCTTGACTAAAGAGATTCGTCTTTAATCTAGTTTTAAACTGTGTCAGCGAGTCAGAGGCTCGGACCGTATCGGGAAGGCCATTCCAGAGTTTTGGAACTAAATGCGAGAACGCCCTCCCTCCTTTACTGGACTTCGATATCCTAGGAATGACCAGAAGCCTTGAATTTAGTGATCTTAAGGAACGCGGTGGATTGTAGGGCGAAAGAAGGTCCGTTAAATACATAGGAGCTAAACCATTTAGGGCTTTATAGGTTAGTAGCAGTATTTTGTAGTTGATGCGGAACTTAATAGGTAACCAGTGTAGAGATGATAAAATCGGTGTTATATGATCATATTTTCTTGACCTAGTAAGAGCTCTAGCAGCTGCATTTTGCACTAACTGTAGCTTGTTTATTGAGGATGCAGGACAACCGGCTAATAAAGCATTACAGTAATCTAGTCTCGAGGTCATGAATGCGTGAACTAATTTTTCAGCATCAGAAATAGATAGCATGTTACGTAGCTTAGCAATGTTTCTAAGGTGGAAAAAGGCTGTTCTTGTAACATATGAAATATGATTTTCGAACGACAAGTTGCGGTCTAGTATAACACCCAGGTCTTTTACTGTTGTGGATAAAGTAACAGGACATCCGTCTATATTAAAGTTGTATTGTAAGAGGTTTTGTGAGTAGTTTTTTGGACCAATAAGTAATACTTCCGTTTTATCTGAATTTAATAGCAGGAAATTACGCGTCATCCAGCATTTTATATCTTTGAGACACTCTGTCATTTTAGATGAGTTAGTGTTTTCATCTGGTCGTGATGAAATGAAATATATAATTGAGTGTCGTCAGCGTAACAGTGGAAATTAATTCCATGTTTTCTTATAATATTACCAAGTGGCAGCATATATATTGAGAATAGCAGAGGGCCTAAAACCGATCCTTGCGGTACAGAGGAGAACTGGCCCCCGACTGAGCCTGGGTTCTCCCAAGGTTTTTTCTCCATCCAATCTGATGGAGTTTTGGTTCCTTGCCACTGTCGCCTTGCTTTTGGCTTGCTTTGAGCTTGCTCAGTTGGGGTTATTTAGTGTTTAGCAATGTTGTTGATCCTGTGTTGTGCTACTTTCATGTTTATCAGTGTGAAGCTGCTTTGATACAATCTGTATTGTGAAAAGCGCTATATAAATAAATGTGACTTGACTTGACTTACTCCATAGTCTACTGACATTATCCTTGATTTTTTCCCATTTAAACAGACAAAATGAGAACGGTCCGATAAGTACGATCTAAACCAGCTTAATGCCTGTCCCTGGACACCGGTGAGGCCACCCTTAAAAATATTCTTGTTTGCCGTAACCCGACCGACCCCGTCAATTTAGGGCCGACCCAATTTTTTTTTTTTTTTTTCATTTTAGTCCGACCGACTTGCCGGTTGTAACCTGCGTTCAGACCGACCGATTTTTTTTTTTTTACTCTTCAAACGACTAATTCAAAATCAATAAAATAATATTAATTATATTTTAGTTAGTATTGTAAAAGTTGCTTGTGTCTACATAGCCAACAAACGTAGGCTACGTTCTTTCTTAAATAAAAACCCGTGGCGTCATAGTCATCCGATTATGTTTACACCATTGGTTTAACGTTAAGCGTGTCACTATATGGCTTACGTTCGCTCGTTTCAGTGTTCCCGCTTGGTATTAAAAGGGCAACGGGGCTGAATATCAACCATTTCTATAATAAAAATATTAAACAATTTGTCTGTGATGCAATTTTGCTATTCGCAGTCCAGAAGAGAGAGCGATCTCTCACCCGGAGCCACAGCGCGCACAGCACGACAGCCCTGCTTAATGAGTGAATGAGGACTAAACTTGGTTACACTTTAGATCTGGGATATTATTCTAATCGTATTTTAGATTTCCGCTTTCAAAGATTATAAAAAGAAGATATTTGAGATGAAACCATTACAGACGCATTGTGTCTAGCGCAACTTCCTTCCCTTCACAGAGCTGCGCTGTCATTTCTTCCTAAAACCCAAACGTACCGTCAGAATCAGCATGATCGGTGATTGTTGTAAAATGCAGTCTGTACTGTTGCTAAACTGCGGACGCGTTCAATCTTTAAAAGAGCTATTAAAAGCACAAAAGTCTGCGCAAGAGAAGTTGTTCACGACGCGCGACACGCGCTCCGAAATGCACTAAAACGAGACAAGAAAAGTAGGCTATCGCCTCATTTTGGGCTTCATGTGCGCATCTAAACCATCAAATATACATAAAATATAAAATGACCTGCTCTGAGATTCATTTAAACACAGTTTATGTCTTAATTGGATGTAAATTGGGAGAAAATGATGGTGCATCAGTCATCTATTACAGTAGAGTTCTGCATTCGGTCTTAAAGGGGCAGTAGTCTAATAAACGTGACGATTGAGCCAATGCGAATCAAACAACAAAAGGCAGATAAAAATCACTCACAGCTCTTGAATGAATAACTTAAACTTTAATAAGCATTAATCTAACTATGATAAACTATGTAGTGTCATTTTACATTTGATTACTAGCTAAATTAAATTTCTTGGAGAGAGCGACAGACTTGACTGAAAAGCTAATTTTAGACCTTCCTGAAATTAAAGCACTGTGTATATAGGCTAATTTGTATCTTTGTTTAATTGTATTCTTTGTTTGACCATGTGTTTGTGCTTGTTTTTGCTGATCTCATGTATATATGCATAACAAATAGATATTTTATACATTTTGAGCCTAAAATGTAACTGGTCGTATTTTGCATTAACACCTAGCGGTGGATGCACAGTTTGAAGACCCAGTCAGTGACGTCACAATATGCATTTTTTTTTTAAAATTCACGATCACCATCTCCAAAATTGTACCTTTTTTTTTAACACTGAATCTTGGAAAAAAAAATATAGACCTACCTACTGACCCTTTTTTTAAAAAAATTGCTGTTACTGCAAACCAAAATATTTTTAAGGATGGCCTGAAGTTTTGTAGTCGATCCAAGAGTATTTTATGATCTATAGTGTCGAACGAATTTGCCGAATAGTGTCGAATTTTAACTAGCGCAGTTTCTGTACTATGATGCGGTCTGAATCCTGACTGGAATTTTTCATAGATATCATTTTCTTGCAAAAAAGAGCACAATTGAGCGGACACAACTTTTTCTAGTATTTTAGACATAAATGGAAGATTTGAAATGGGTCTGTAATTTATTTAGTTATTTAGGTCTGTAGTTATTTGGATCTAATTGCGGTTTCTTAATGAGCGGTTTTATTACTGCCAGCTTGAATATTTTTGGGACATGACCTAAAGATAAAGACGAGTTAATAATATTGAGGAGAGGCTCTTCCACTGCAGGTAATAGTTCTTTCCGTAGTTTAGTGGGTATTGGATCTAATAAACATGTTGTTAATTTTCTCTCGAACCTTTTTTAATCTAATTGGCGCAACAATATCTAATGTACTAGTAAGAATGGTGCTTAAACTGCTAGTTATTTCCTCTAATTCATCTGTTTGTTTGGGTTCACTTAGCAGCTTAGATAGATCAGGTAAGCTATTTGAGAATCCATCTATAGTGGTTGGAAGGATTGTTCTGCCTGGTCTACGTGGCGCAACATGACATATTTCATCAGTACGTATTATGCAAGTCACCATGTAATGATCAGTGACATCATCGCTTTGCGGTATAATATCTATATCAGTGGGATCGGTTCCATATGATATAATTAAATCTAGTGTATGATTTAGATGATGAGTGGGACCACTGACGTTTTGTTTGACCCCAAAGGAGTTTAATAAGTCTGTAAACGCAGCCCCTAAAGCATCATTTGTATTATCTACGTGTATGTTAAAATCTCCAGCAATTATTGCTTTATCGACATTTACCAATAGATCCGAGAGAAAGTCTGCAAACTCTTTTAGGAATTCAGCATATGGCCCTGGAGGTCTATATACAGTAGCCAAGGCTAGAGATAATATGGATTTCCTTCTTACATCTAAGAGCGTAACGTTTAGCATAAGTACTTCAAATGAATTAAACCTGTGACCTGTTTTCTGAGTAATATTAAAAATATCTTTATAGATTGTTGCAACACCGCCGCCACGACCGATCAGACAAGGCTCATGTTTATAACTGTATCCTGGCGGAGTAGATTCGTTTAGACCGAAATACTCATTTGGTTTAAGCCAGGTTTCAGTAAGGCACAGAACATCGAAGTTATTATCTGTGACCATTTCATTTACAATAACCACCTTAGGTGTGAGCGATCTAATGTTTAGGAGACCTAGCTTTAGAAATTGTTTTTGTTCACTGATATTTAGATTTTCTGGTTTAATTACAATAAGATTTTTGCTAGATCCTACACTAGATTTATTGTTTGGCTTCACTAAACGAGGAATAGACACAGTTTCTATATAATGTTCCACACTATGCTTATTAGTTAAGTTTGGACCGCAAAGGCTGTAATTTGGACTTTGACTCATTAGTCATTTGGTGCGTAGTGTCTTGGAAATGTTGTCCAACAGCACAGCCGCTCCGATTCGGCTGGGATGGAGTCCATCTGTACTGTACAGCCTTGGTCTCTCCCAAAACAGATGCCAGTTATTTACAAAGTGCTGCCTCTGTTCATTACACAATGACATTAACCATTCATTTAATTCAAATAGTCTACTGAACCTTTCCTGTCCTTGTCTGTACGTGGGAAGCGGTCCAGACACGATGATCGCTGCTTTAGGCGCTGTGCTGCGTACCGTCTCGATCAGGCTCCTGTAGTCCTTCTTCAGAACCTCCGTCTGCCGCAGCCTAATGTCGTTCGCTCCCGCGTGCAGCACAACAGCTCCGACGCGCTCGTCCCCGTTCAGGATCTCGGGAACCTGTGCAGCGACATCAAGAACACGAGCACCAGGAAAGCAGTGAGTGCGCACCTTACCTTTATCCGAATTAGCGCGGACATGGCGGACCATGGATGTGCCGATGATCACGGCGTCATCGCGTTCCGGCTCGCGAAGAGGGGAGAAGCGGTTCCGGGTGGAGATCTCGAAGACCGGGAGGGGCGGAGAGGCAGCTCAGGTCCTGGCTCGTGTCTTCCGCTGTGTGATCCATGGTCCATGTTGTTGTTTCGGAGCCGGAGTAAATGAAGCCCGAGATGATCGCGTCTTCCTGGGCAGAGTAACATACGGAGTAGACGAAGTCGGAGTCAAAGAGTTAACGTTACTAACCACTGATTTGTGAGCGTCGGCGCGTGATGCTTCAAGCGTTGAGCGCCGATCCAACAGCTCGGCTTGCTTCACCAGCAGACCACGGATCTGTTTCTCGACGTATTCCAGCTCCTGCTTCACCGTGAAGAGCTCGAACGTGTCTTCACCTGCACTCAGAGGTAATGTTAGACACGCATCTGATATGTTCGCCATTATAACAGATAAACGGTAAATTAGTAGTGATACTACAACTATCACTACTAATTTAGGACTGAAATGCCGGAAATAACCAGGATTCAGTGAAACGGGTGTAAAATGAGACGGCCAATAGGCGAGAGAGCACGCGTGGAATGCTAGCGGGCTAAAGGCTAGTAGCCGGGATTCGGAAAGTTGGATATAAGTAGCGATATCAAAGCAATCCAATTGTTTTTTATAAGGAATAGTATCGAGGATAAGTTCACATGATATAAAAATAGAAAGTGCTTGTTTATAAATAAGTGGTAAAGAAGAAAATCAAGGATTAGTGAAGAAATTCTCCGGAGCTACAAACACAAACAACCGATCGCACGCGCATGCGCAGTACAGGCCAGAACCTTAGCCAGATCATGATGCTGATATTATCTTGGATGTCTCGTTTGATCTTGAATGCTTTAGCAACATACGAAGAGCGGGCCCCAGGCCTGGTGCTCTCTCGACGGTGTGGGGCGGGTTGTAAAATAGAGACAGTGGTGCGGTGCGGGCTGGGGCGGGCCAAATAATTTCATAAAAGCAGGACCCGCGGGTTGGAAAAAAAGCCGACCCGCGCATCACTAATGGTTGTGGATTATTTGCATGGAACTATTTTCTCAGACAATCTATTATCTTGATTAGCAATTATCTCTAGATAAAATATTAAAACACTGCATGCCAGAGGAAAAGTGTTCCAAAGCATTGCATCCACAACAAATACTATATATTTCTATTTATTGAATATATATTTTTTTTGTAACTTCTCAGTAATGATTTCATGTAGTTTAAGTCTTTAACTCCATTAAAGAGAATGGCATATTTAATCTAAATGTTTATATCAGAATTAAAACATAGTTTAAATCATTATTTTATTTATTTAAACTGTTATTGAGAATGTGCACTGTATTAGCCTACTCATGAAGATTTACGGTTCATCTGCCGTTAGATTATGTGCGCCAGTTTCACTAAACGGCCCAACGCGCGTGCTGGCGCAGAAACTTAAGAAGGGATGGATACTGGCTTCAAGTGATTGGCTTGGTGAGTGAAATTTTATTTGTAGGCTATTTTCTTTTTGTAGCCTATAGATAGGCTATAATTTTCTTTAGATTTTCCGTCTAAAAGTGACCAAAAAGACATTTAACGTACGTACGTCTCCAGCCCCGGTTTGTGCGTCCACACGCTTTATAAATGAGACCCCAAACTTTGCGTAGATTTCATCCTTAAAGTGTGCGTACGCACATAAGGCAGAATTTGCGTACGCACGAAAGTTTTCAGATTTATAAAACCGTTCGTACGCCAGAACCTGCGCAGAATTCACTTTATAAATCCCAGTCAGCGGGAGATTATGCGCCCGTGCGTCTCCTCCCCGAAATAACCATATATGGAGATTACAACGCCTAGTTTAAATATGCATATCCTCATCTGCATATCATTTGCATATGATTATTCATCCACGTGATACCAAGTTTAACGGTACAAGACGTCAGGAAAATATGAAATGCGGATGTGGCGTAACATTATTACAAACATATATATATTTTTTTTTAGTAGCCTATATCCTTGCCTTGTTTTTGAATGAATAAATCAAATAGTGTTAAATACATTTCAGAGAAAGTTTTTCTCAATCTTTTCCACTGGCCAAATTATAACGGCTCCTGAATGTTTTCCCCAGATCAGAAAAAATCACGCTTCAACTGATGCCTTCGATGTCTTTTATATTTAATGTCTTCTTCTCAAGAATCAGGACATTTTACCATCACAAACATCAAATGGACACCGTGAAAAAACTGAAAATAAACCAAAATTACAATCAAATTTGTGAAGAAGTGATTTTTCCATGACGTTGTTCAATTTAGCTTATTACTTCAAATCAATACACATCAATACACATAAACGATAAACAAGATATGTACAAACATACCGTGTGCCTTCTAATCAGGATTCAGGAGACATTAGGAGACATATTCTGATCAAAACTCTTCTTAATTTTACACCTCTCAATTCGTGTGCGACACCTCATGTCTCTCAGTTTCTTCTTTCTTTCCGTGTTCACGCAAAATCAAATCACATGACCAGTACGTCTTATGTCACTCATTTTCTCCAGTAGGTGTCACTATTGCCAAACTATCATGCAAATAAAATACAATTCCCAAAAGAGTATTATACAACATTTATAAAACAAACAAAACAAAACTTTCAAAAGAAGATGAATATTCAGCAAGAAAATACACTATCTGCGACAGCTACACTGCCACCAAAATTACAAAGGATTTATGTCAGTAATATCTTGAACAAATTAAAGAAATCCTGTAATTTTCTTATGAGCTGTCACTTAACTTGCATTCATCTTTCAACACTTTCACAACCAGTGTTATTTAACCATTATTTGAATTAAACTATTTTAGATATGTCAAAACTAATCCGTTTAATCCCATTTTGAGGTTTCACGCATTATTTAAGAGTTGTTTTCAACTATTACTACTAATTTTTGGATTGGACGCTCCAAAAGGGATATTTGTGTCAATCGCTCACCCTTTTTCTTCCTCTGTCCCATTTGGAGTTTAACCTTCCGCACCAACCCATCATCGTCTGCACTTGTCTCAACGACTCTAGCTAGTCTCCATTCATTTCTGGGAACATTGTCCTCTTTGAGAATTACTACATCTCCAACATGAACATTTCTTCTAGGCCTGTGCCATTGCTGTCTGAGGCTTAAGTTGGCCAGGTATTCTTTGCGCCATCTGCCCCAAAACTGTTCCGACAGGTACTGCACTCTCCTCCATCTTTTCCTAGCATACAAATCTTCCCGAACAAATTTGCCAGGAGGAGGAAGAGGCACTGAGGTCTTCATCGTCAAAGGCTCAACGCTCTCTGGGTCATTTATTGTGTTTGTGGTAATTGTAAACTATTTACAATTGACATTGCCTCGTAGAAAAATGTTCTTAATGAAGTGTCATGCAGTCTTCCTTTAGCTTGTGCCAGAACAGCGTTCATCACACTCCTTACAGGCCTTATTTGGCGTTCCCACACACCTCCCATATGGCTTGCTTCAGGAACATTCATAAGGAAGTCACATTGTTTGCTTGCAAGATAGGTAGTGATCCTCTCTTGATCCAGATCTTTCAAACCTTTCTCCAGCTCGTTCTTAGCCCCCACGAAATTCGTGCCTTGGTCGGATCTGATCTGTCGCACAGCTCCTCTGATTGCTATGAAACATCTTAAGGCATTCAGAAATGCATCGGTGGAAAGATCTTCTAGCATCTCTAAATGTACAGCCCTGGAACTCATGCACGTAAACAACAGCCCATACCTCTTGAATTCCTTCCGACCTTGTTTTGTGTAGAAGGGGCCGAAACAGTCGATACCAGAATACGAGAATGGAGGTGAGGGTTCCACTCGGTCAGCTGGAAGGTCAGCCATACGTTGTTCTTCGACTGATCTACGCATCTTTCTTCAAGTAACACAATTTTTGATGTTCTTAGCCACTACATTGCTTGCACCTAATATCCAATATCCATTGGCTCTGAGCTCATTCAAGGTTTGACCTCTGCCCTGATGTTGAGTTTTCTTGTGACAATGGTCAAGTATTAGTTGTGTGACGATGCCTTCCTTAGAAAGAATTACTGGATGTTTCAACTCAAATGCTGCGCTAGACTTTCTTAATCGTCCTCCAACTCTAAGCAGTTCATTCTCGAGAATGGGATCAAGTTGGTATAACTTGTTATTCTTTGGCAGCTTAGCAGGGTTTTGACTCAGCAATTTCAGTTCTTCTTCAAAGGCTTCTCTTTGTGCTGCCTTGATGAGCACAAGAGCTGCTTTCTGTTTCTCCTCTACACTAATGGACCCTGACTTGTCTTTGTTTACCAGTCTTTTGATCCTAGCGATAGTTTGGAGAGCTTTATTCCAATCTGAGAATCTTGAGAGTCTTTCAAGAAAGCTACCTCTTACACAGGAATCTGTTTTCAGAACCTTTACCTCAGGATCACCTACAAGAAGCACTGGGGATTTTTCATGAGTGCTAATCTCTCGTTCCCATAAGTACTTGGGACCTGTTAACCAACTTGAATCAATCAGGTCTTCCACCTTGAGACCCCTAGATGCACAATCTGCAGGATTTTGACTTGTTTCCACGTAGAACCATTGTCTTGGATCTGAAGAGTCTCTCATTTCCCCCAGATATACCCCAGCACCACCTGGGAATCAGTCCAGAAAAACTGCTCATTTACCTTCAGATCAAGCTCTTCTCTAAGAACATGACTTACTGCCGCAGAAACTGTGGCTGCGGTCAGCTC